TCAGAGGTTTCAACCTGCAATCTGTGCTACTTAGTCCAGATTACATCTTTGAGAAAGTCTAATCATGTGTTCCTTCTACTGATTTTTAATTTATATGAATAGGAAAAGGAAATGAATCCTACTTTTTGCTAGGAAACTAGTGATAAGAAAGGAATATAAAGGTAAGGATAAGACCTTTTTCCTTACCTCCATAAAAGACAGAGAGCTTAAGTCTTTTACATTCTTTACAAAGTAAAAATGATGGTGGAGCATCAGAAGTGTCCCGTCAATTTACTGGTTTGAAACTTAACAGTGTTTTTATTCTCCCTTTTTCTCAGGGTGGAAGCATTCAGATATCCATAAAACCAGTGAAGATTGTAAGTGTACTATAGAAAAGGGAAAAAGGGAATAAAAAGAGTAGAACATCTAACATTACATTCAAAAAAAAAAGGAAAGTCCTTGATGAGCTGGGATCTAAAAAGGAGTTGATAATAAAAGGCAGCAGATAAGGGGTTTGGGGGGGAGGGGGGATATAGTGTTGATGGTTCAATCCCATTATCTGAAAATGTGTTTAGATATACTAAGTAGTGAAACAATTAGGAAATCTTGGGTAAGGATCTTACAAGTGAATACTTAGAGTAAATGAAACACATTCACATTGAGGGCATTCTAGACAGTAAGTTTCTGTCTAAGGAGGACTTCAGTTACATCATGTACAATAATCCAACTATAGCAACCTTTTACTCCTTACCAATGGTGCACAAACACCGTTAGAGGCCAAATGACTGTCCCATTGTGTCTGGAAACCACAACTTAACTGAACATGAAGCCATCAATATCGATACAATTTTGAGACTATACGTATATGTATTATCATCATATATAGAGTGCACAAGGGAATTTGATGATAAATCATTTGGTCAGACAATTTCTGATAGAGAACCTCTAGCCAGTCTTGACCTTACAGCTTTATATAGCAATATAAAGCACACCCTGATTTTACAAATATGTAAATATTTTTTTGAAAATGAGAGAGCTTTTCAGGCCCATATAGAGTTAGTTTTTAAATTTCTTATGTTTATACTCATGCATAACTACTTTTTATTTACTGGAAACATTTACAAACAATTAGTATGTATGGGCATTGCATGTACCCCGATCTATGCCAATCTGTTTAATGGCAGATGGGAAGACACAGTTGTCTAAACTGAGCACATGCATTACTGCACTTCCAAGATATTACTATGGATCAGAATTATAGATGATATATTCATCTTATGGGATGGAACAAGAGAGGACCTTAAGCAATTTGTAGCACAGCTTAATGACAATGCCATAGGCAAATTCTTTTTTGGACCTGAGAATCAGTTGAGGAATAGGATGTCACATCCAGATACCAGTCTATTGAAAACACGTCCACTAATAGTCTTTTACATTGGGAAAATCACCCACTTGAAATCCTTAAATAGGGGGATTTCCACTGGTCAATTCATGAGCGCAAAATGCAATGGTTTGACACAGAGTCTGAAATAGAATTTGGACGCTTGATAGATTCATTCAAAGAGGCTATCACAGAACAGACCTTGTAAAGTCTTTCAAAAACAGCTGATCAGTCCAGAGATCAACTGCTAGGGAAACAAAAAAAAAGGATGAGTTTGATAAGACACAGATAGCTGGCTCATATTCATGAAAATCCAGGAAGAGCTACAAAATAATTAAACATTACTCTTGGATGAAAAAGACCTACATGAATTTTTACAGAAAAATTTTTCAATAACATACTGACAAGAAAAACAATTGAGATATTTCAGTCCATAGTCTATTGTACAAAATTTATACAAAGATACATAGACCTATATGGCTACCAGATAGGCTGAAAGGTTCTTATTGGTGTCATCGTAAAGCCTGTTCATTTGCACCAACAATGAAAGAATTTGTCAATCCTAAAACATGAGGGAATCTGACAATTGACTCTTTTTACAATTGTAGTACAAGTCATTTATGTGGCCAGCTGTCCATGTTCCCTACTATATGTGGGCAAACTCATTCGCCAGTTCAGAAGGTGAATTTTAGAGCATGTAAATTATGTGGCCTTGAAAAAGGAAAGACCAGTGGCCAGGCACATTTGAGTAAAACATCAGGGCAAATTGGATTGTTTAGGGTTTTGGTTAGTGCATGGAATGAAACTAACTTGGATAGCTCAGGTTAGAGCACATTACTTTATTCATAGTAGAGAGAGATTTTAGTTCACTGGGTAAAATTATATTTTTGTCTTGAACGATTTCTCCTATTCCTCTTAGGTATTCAGCCCCATTGTTTTGTCTATTCACAGTGCAAGAACTTTTACATAAATTAAAATAAGTTAGGCCAAAATGGGTTTAGATGCGTGGTGAAGAGAGTACATCACCTTCATTTTCTGTTCCATGGGTTTTGGTTTAAAGATCCCACAGAAAGATATTCAGATGTTGCGATTGGTTCAACAAATGGTCTGCGGCGCAAATCCAGGCCAATTTACCCATACCTTTTAAGCACCTCCACCATTTAATCATCCAGGGCTAGCATTCAAATGATACTGGGTAAATGCTTAGACCACTATCTGTAGAGCATTCTAGCATGCAGCAATAAAAGGAGTCTAGGAGCCCCATACCCACATTGCTTCCCACAAGCAACTGTATGGTATGGCAAAAAACAAATTTACAACATAATATATTTACAACATTTGACTGTGTGTTTGTTGCCCCCTTGTTGCCATAATTTCCCATGTATTGTCTTGATTTCCCATTTCCATATGGTTGCACATATAAATACATTGTGTTTATTTTGTTTTGTAAGAATTTGTCATTATGGTATGTCTGCTTTTATTATAATATAGAATTCAGAACCAGAACTTGGCTATCTCACTCATACTCTCAGCACTGGTACCTCACCAGAAACAAAATGTGCAGAGCCCCCCCCCACTGCCTACAACCTACATCACACATCAGAACATGACAATTGACATCTTATCTTACACTGCAGTACACCACACATATACCATACAACACAAATTAAACAGTACATTACACTCTTGGTACCCTATTACACATTACGGATAATTCTTTCTATCCATCTCTCTAAGCTTGTTACTCTTTATTTTCTTTAGCTGCGGAACAGCTGTGGTGAATACCGGATAGTGCTTAGACCCTGCACCTTAGGTGAACCTGCATCATCTGCCAGGGTGTCCTGCTTGTATACCGTGCTGCTGGTTTGTGGGAGCTTTTCCGCTGCTATAGCTACTTGTCTCTGAGCCTGACACCTGACCGTGACAATGGGAGTGTGGAAGTAAGCAGTCTTACAAGTGTAAGCAGTCTCACTCCCAGTTATATCTGCCTACCTCCAGGTCTATTATTTGTGTTGCATTTGGGTCCATTTTTACTGACTGGATTGGAAATGGGCAGATATAGGCAGATACAAGACTGTTTATATGCTTTTTTTTCCCATGGAAGAAAAATCTGAAATATGACATTTGTACTGTTCTGATCTGACTGTGTGTAACCTTTATTTACACGGAGATTAAATGTAATAATAATGGTTGTTAGTAGAAAGCTGACAAAAAGCATAGTCCTAATTGATGATGGTTCTAGAATCTGTAACAGAAAGTCACATTTTCTCCTGGAAGATGTCATGCATACAGAATCAGAGGACATTAGTCTAGGAAGTCGTGGGGGAAAACCAAATATATAAAAAGAAAATACAGCATAACATCCTTTCCTCTTAGGGGAAAAGAGTTTGTTTAAACTTTCGTATTCTAATTCATTGTGCAGAATGAAAATGTTAGAAATGTTTGTGTGATGTTTCTTTGCACTTGGCCGAACAGTGAATCATTAGCCTGTCTACCTTTAGACTTTTAAGACATATGTAAGTTGTTGTGTGTATTTCTTGTAGCCTTGAATTCACTGATGGTTATTCTTCTAACTATGCTTCAAATGCTTTAAAACTTTCTATCAAATGTCATTTTCTGAAAAGATGGCTGACCTTTTAGTCTTGAACAAAACATATTTAAAATGGACAGCTTAATTTCCTTCAGATACAGACAGATACTACTGAAATGGAAGGATAGGCTTGTGGTTTTGGGCAGATATTTTTTAGGTTCATATAAGTAGAACACATGTTTTATGGTAGGTTTAAAATGTCAGTTCATTTATGCAAAAATCTACATTTTGCAAGATCCAGTGAGGGAGATTTACTAAAACAGGTGCACTAGCAATCTGGTGCAGCTTTGCATGGTAGCCAATCAGCTTCTAACCTTGGCTTAGTCAATTAAACTTTGGTAATAAAACCTGAAAGCTGATTGGTTTCTATGCAGAGTTGCACCAGAATTTGCACTCTCCAGCTTTAGTAAATAACCCCAATCCAACTAACTTTTGCTGCCCAAACCAGTCCTCAGAAAGCACTAACAAGCAATCTCTTTGCAGAGCCAAAAGTGAATGATCAAAAACATCATTTCACCTTGCTCTTTTTACATATCTTACATCCCTTTGCTATTTCATAATCATTTTTACTTCAAAATGTTCCATGTGAAATTAACATAAACATTTAGGCTCCCTTCACACCATCACATTCCACGAACAAGCAAAACAAATTCTAAAATGTGCATTGTGCTTGTTCTACCATTATTTCCTAATGGAACCCCAAATGCAAGTAGCAGTCATGTGCCAAAACATGCATTGTAAAAAGGCACAAGGCTCATTGCCAAAAAAAGTGCAGGAGTCACTTTGGTGTGAATTTTGCCATATGCTGTCACGTGACCAATGCATGAAGAAACACGTGAAAAAAATACAACTCCCAGGTGTGAATGAAGCCTTAAGATCCTTAAGGATCATAGAGGTTGTGCGATCAAACACACTTTATTTGAAGTGCACAAAAATTACTTTTCAGATAAACAGACAGCTGCCGCACGGTAATCATAGAGGTTTACTGTCTGGTAGCTGTCCATTCCACCTGCAGTGAGCCGGTAGGGGGTGATGTGGTGTGCGATTCAAACACACTTTATTTGAAGTGCACAAAAATTACACTTCAGTCCAGGGGCGGACTGACCGTTTGGAAACTCGGGCACTGCCCGAGGGCCCGGGGTCAGTAGGGGGCCCCATGAGATCTTCCTGTTACCTTTTTCATAGGCTTTTTTGAGTTTGGGCAAGGACACAGGAGCCCCATGATCCCCTATTGCCCGGGGTCCCCAGGAGTTGTCAGTCCGCCCCTGCTTCAGTCATGTCACTGTAATGCAGTGCAGTGATATGTGACCCTGTCCAATGTGCTGTGATAAAATGCAGCATGTGTGCATTTTATCACAGATGACTGCAGTGCAGCTCCTGGCTGCATTTCAATGTGAATAGGACACATAGAAAACAATTGTTTTCTGTGTGTCCTAGCAGTGACCTGCATATTCCAGGGTGGAAAAATGCCAGTGTGAACTGGCTATAAAGGATAATTGATTCTTTTTAAATTATCCTCTAAGTGTTTAGCCCCCTCACCTATCCCCCCCACCCACAAGGTCACTGTCTGCTGGTGCACAGGGAGCCACACAGCTGTTAAAATCTTTTTTTCAAGTCTTCTGTGTGAACAGAGGATTTTAGGACTTGGAGGTTCGTATGAGGGGCCCACCTTCCTGTGGGCTGCACAGATTAAATCTGCCAGGAGTTGAAATAAGTGAGTAAAGGTCCTGAGGAAAGGGGATGGGCTTTATTTAAAGGCTATGTTCTGAATTGAAAGCCCTGTTTCTCAATTATTTCTATTTTACCTATCCTATTTTATCTATATTTTACCTCCAGATGATGTCAGCCAAAAAGTAGTGCTATTTTTAGGTGCAGCAACCATTGAGATACATGATACTACAAAAATCAGTAAAACCAGTACAGTCATCTGATGTAGAAAACTGCAGAATAAAATGCATGCATTATGCTATTTTGAATCGACACCAGTGTGCTTAACCGTTTCCGCACTGCCCTATAGTAGAAACACTGCTACAGGATGGCACGGGTGTGCAAAATCACCTGTAAATACGTGATTTTGCAGTTCCAGGTAGAGGGAGCACGTGCCCTACCCACGCCACCATATGCTGCCTCAGCTGTCAATTATCGGGTCCCAGCCGGTGATTCCCCGCTGGCACCTGGTGATCTCCGAGGATTTCTGACAGGGGAGAGACTTGTCAGCAGAGCCATACAAAGCAGTGTGCTTACAGTGTAAAGCACACACAGCCCACATAGTAAAACAGCACACAGTTAACCCTTTGATCACCCCACATGTTAACCCCTTCCTGCCCAGTGCCAATGTGTATAGTGTCAGTGCTTTTTATTAGCACTGATCACTGTATTGGTGTCACTGGGGATGTCAGTGACACCAAGTCAGTTCCCCCCAGTGTCAGAATGTCCACCGCAGTCCTGCTATAAGTTGCTGATCGCTGCCATTACTAGTGAAAAAAAAAGTCCAGTATATATACCGTCATTATTAAACCCTATAACTTTCATGTAAACCAATTAATGTACATGTTTTTTCTAGAAAAGACATGTAGCAGAATACATTTTGGCTTAAATTTATGATGAAATTTGATTTTCTAAATTTTTTTTCACTGGACATATTTACTAGCAAAAAGTCAAACATAAAGTTTTTTTTCAAAAATGTTGGTATCATTTTTTTATAGCGCAAAAAATAAAAACCACACAGGCAATAAAATACCACCAAAAGAAAGCTCTATTTGTGGGGAAAAAAAGGACATACATTTATTTTGGGTGCAGCATTGCATGACCGCGCAATTTTCAGTTAAAGTAACGCAGCGCTGTATCGCAAAACATGGCCTGGTCAGGAAGGAGGATAAATCCTCTGGGGGGCAAGTGGTTAATGTTCTCTGTGTCTAATGGACGCAGTTTTACAAGTGCCTGAACGTGTGGGAAATGTGTGCTTAGATGACTGACACATTCGCAGAAGTGTCATTTCACACCAATCAAGATGGCAGAAGACCAGCACCTGGAAGAAGCCAGAGAAAATATGCTGGCACTGGCAAGGGACCCCGTGTGAACATTAGCCAACTGGAGAGGAGGTAAGTATTTCTGCATTAAACCTGCTGATCTGTTTCCCAAAATAGTCATATACAAGACATGCCTCTGTTACTAACTGTTACAGTTGTCAGCGTGCTTATATCAGTTGTCAACTATCTGGTGTCATAGCTGGTCACATGTGCTGCACCATGGCAATTGCATATCTAAATAAAGGCTAAGATAGGGCAAATAATGGACAGCAATTTAAAAAATGAAGTATTAGGGAAATTGGTAAGATAACATACATTATATATCTTGATTGGGGGGGGGGGGGGGGGGTAAGAAGATTTCATATGTAAAAAATCAATTATCTATTTTCTAAGATTGAAGACTGAAAAATTGTACAGTTTTATTGAAGCACACCTTTTAAGCCTTTATTAAATAGGTTTCAATATTTAAAGGAGACCAAAACTAGAATAGAAATCAGACTATATCTGGAAATAAATGTCCCTTTTCCCTAAGACTGAAGATTGAAACATTTTATAGATTTGCACCACGGCTATTAAGTCTTGTGGTCTAGGCCACAATTTTAGAGTAAATGATTAGGCCTATTTTTGTTTTGTTTGAAATTGAAACCTAAAATATTCATACATATACACCAAATATATTATGTCTGTATGGCCAGGCCAAAATGTCTAGATGATTGTGTAGCCATATTGAGTCTTGGAAAAAAAAAAGTGTTTTTGTTTTAAATTGAAAAGAGAAACATTTTACAAGTTTGCAGAACATAGATTTGGTTTATATCAGTCAGAAAATTTAAATGAAACTTTTTTTTTTTCAAACACACTATATAAAATTGTACAATGCTGCTGATCAGAATCTCATTGTTTTTTATTGTGAGGCAGTTTTTTAATGCAGTATGTGAAAATTGTACAGATTTGCCAATAGAATTTCATCCTTCTCAATATGAAGCAATTTTTAAAGCAGATAGTAAGCATAGTCTAACCTTCAAAATTATATGAAACTATTTTTAACCACCTCAATACAGGGCACTTTTACCCCCTTCCCGCCCAGCCCAGACCAATTTTCAGCTTTCAGAGCTCTCACATTTTGAATAATTACTCAGTGATGCAACACTGTACCCAAATTAAATTTTTTCTTTTGGTTGTATTTAATTAGCGCTGGGTTTTTTATTTTTTGCACTATAAATTAAAAAAAGACAGAAAAGTTTTAAAAAAATGCATTTTTCTACATTTCTGTTAAAAAAAAGTTTGCAAATAAGTAATTTTTCTTCATAAACTTGGGCCAAAATGTATACTGCTACATTGCTTTGGTAAAAAAAAATAATCCCAATTGGTGTGTATTATTTGGTCTGTGTGAAAGTTATAGATACCAACCACTGAAAATTGATCACATCTGATCAAACCTTATGTACTGATGTCCTATCTCATTTCTTGAGACACTAACAAGCCAGGACAGTACATATCCACACCCCCCCCCCCCCCCCAAATTACCCCTTTTTGGAAAGTATACATTCCAAGGTATTTATTAACATACACTGTGAATTTTTTTGAACCTGTAAATTATTTCCCACAATTGTTTGGAAATGAAGAAAGTAAATACAATTTGTTTTTTTTTTTTGCACTCAATTGTTCCTCTCACACAGCATGTGCATACTTGCAGCTTCACCCAAAAACACATTGTGCTGCTTCTCCTGAGTATGGGGATACCACATGTGTAAGACCTTTCCACAGTATGGCCATATACAGAGGCCCAACATCCAAGTAGTACCTACAGACATTCTGGAGGCATAAATTACACATCTCATTTCTTTACGATCACATTTTTGAAGGCCCTGGCACACTAGGACAATGGAGTTAAACACAAAATGACCCCATTTTTGAAAGAAAACATCCCAATGTATATTCTAAGAAGCATAATGCATCTTTTGAACATGTCATTTTTTTCCACAAATTTTCCGAAAATGTGGAAAGTATGGGGATACCACATATGTAAGACTTTTCCACAGCCTGGCCACATCCAGAGGCCCAACATCCAAGAGGCACCTTCAGGCTTGTAACACATAGCATGTAAATACCAAGAATTACACCCCAAAAATACATTCTGCTGAGCAAAGGGTAAACCAGAAAATTACCTGTGATTTTAGTAGTGCAGTTGTCCACAGAGGAGAGCATTGGTCTCAGCAGCAAGCAGGAACATGGTCAGCGACAGCAAAAGGAATCACCCAGGCAGCAGGAAGGAATACTGTCCATAGTCACTAAAGGCAGCAGACAGAGATATTGCCAGCACGACCAAAGCATTGGTCCAGGAAGCAGGAAGACATGTGGTCAGCAGCAGCCAAAGGCGTTTTCCAGGCAGAGACATGGTCAGCACAGCAAAGGATATAGACATCTCTTTTATCTTTCCACTTTAGGGCTAGGATCTCTTCATTCCGCAAACTGGCTGTTTCCCCCCCGTTTTAATTTTGTAGTGACCAATCATTGTGGGAAGCCCTTGTGGTTGGCCCGTGCTGCCCACAGGCCACAGTTTTCTTCAAACTGAGATGGCAGAATAATGGGAGACTTGTGTAGAAATTATATACATACAAATGATAACTCTTCTCAAACAGCGGTTCTATAAGCTGCCAAACAATTTTGCCACTTGTCCCCATGTAGGTAGGGCATCCAGGGGAGTCTAGATGGCTGTCCTTGCCCTCATAAATGTTGAAGTTGTAGGTATATGCCATGGCTCTGTCACATGCCTTGTAGAATTTTACTCCATATTTGGCCCATTTACTGGGGATGTACTGTTTGATGTCAAGCCTTCCAGTAAAGTGGACTAGTGATTCATTCACATAAATATTTTTGTCAGGGTAAACATTTTCTTGAAGGTACAGCAAAAAAAAAGTTGATTAATACTGAATTTTGAATAGCTTATCATAATCCGGATGATTTAGAAGAGGGCATTGGGTAATATTATTGAAATGAAAAAATCTCATTATCTCAAAGCATATTCTGGGCATACAAGATTAATAGACTGGCATATGATGTATAGATTGGGTAGACCATTAGGCATGGACTTCATTTTTTTGTCAGTCCCATGTTCAGAGTAAGACCAAGTAAAATTTTAAACTCCTCCACGGTGAGGGGTTTCTACACAAATGGGCAGGCATATGACGAATTGGGATTGCTGGCTATATATTGGCTGGCATACAGGTTATACTGCTTCACAATGTAATTTAGCAGATCATTCGTAAAAAATAAATGAAAAAAAAAAAACAAATTGGGGTATCATTTTTTGCTTGCATCAGAGGGCCTGGCTGTGCTGTAAAAGGGGGAATTGTAGGTTCTGCTGAATTAGCAGGCAGCCATGTGGAATATAAAAGTACATCTGGGAGGCTAGTATGGGCCTTACCTCATTGTGGATGGGAAACCCTGCTATTAGTGCCTCGCCTATCATCTGGGAGTGCAGCCCTGCTTGTACTCGCCTATTTTCTGTGAGTACTGCGCTGCTTGTACTCACCACTGTGCTACGGGTGGATGCCTGCTTCTCAGATACCCTTAACCTCTTTGTTTGGATTCTCTCCGCCTCGGAATCTGTTTCTGACCCACGGCTTTTAACTGGCTCAAACTCAGAATCTGAGTCTGACAGAGAGTACCCCGCTACTCTCATCCGTCATACTCAGTATCTGGAAAGCCTCCTTACTGGTGTATATTTTTTAAGACATTTTGATGTTCACTGGTACTGATGTGGATTTGACATTGATACTCTGTGACAGATATTGATCACTGGTACAGTTGTGGATTTGACACTGGTACACTGTGACAGATACTGATCACTGGTACAGGTGTGGATTGTATTCTGGTACACTGTGACAGATGTTATTCACTGGTACTGATGTGAATTTTACAATAGTACTGTGACAGATATTGAGCACTGGTAAACTGTGACAGATGTGGATTTGACACTGGTAGGCTGCCGTGACAGATGTTGATCACTGGTACAGAAGTGAATGACCACTAGTACACCATGACAGATGTGGATCACTGGTACAGATGTGAATTTTAAGTGGGTACACCATGACAGATGTGGAACACTGGTACAGATGTGGATTGTATACTGGTACACTGTGACAGATGTGGATCACTGGTACAGATGTGCATTTTACACTGGTACACTGTGACATGTGGATCACTGGTACACTGTGACATGTGGATCACTGGTACAGATGTGCATTTTACACTGGTACACTGTGACATATGTGGATCACTGATAGCTGTGTGGGGGGCACTATGGGGTGATGTTTGTGTGTAACTCACTGTTTTTTACACAGATCAGCTCTGGTTCTCCTCACTAGTGGGCTCTGCGTGAGGAGAGGAAGAGCCAATCAACTGAATGGTGGCTGTGTTGACATTACATGATGGCTGTGATTGGTCCTTCTGATCACATGATGGCAGTGTCCAATCAGAGAGCCCTTCTGATGAGCGGCATTGCACTGTGACCAGAGGACAAAGGCACACCGAGAGCGTGCAGCCACGAGGCCGCGTGCATGCCCGCATTCTGAGGGATGTTCAGGAATGTCCAATCAGAACGGTAAACATCCCACCTTGTCGTTTGTGCAGTGGCCAGGTGGGAAGCAGTTAAAGACTGTTTGCAACATTGTACAGATTTGAATCTTATCCTTTTTAATGTAAAGCAATTTAAAAAAAGAGTAGGCATACTGTATATAAGGTTGAAATATTAACCACTTGACAACCGGGCTATAGTCAAATGACGGCTACAGCACGGTTGTCCAGTTCTGGGAGGACTTCATATGACTTCCTGCCACAACACACCCTCCCACGCGCACCCAGCGATCTCCATGATCGCTGTGTCCTACGGACACAGCTGATCACGTGATGTGGTATTAGGCCAATCACAGCGGGCTTTTACCATGTGATCAGCTGTGTCCAGTGACACAGCAGATAACCGGGTAAATGCAGTTGCCGGTTGTCAACTGCTCTTTCCTCACGCTGTCACATCATGAGGAAAGTGCTGCCGATAACCGGCAATTGTCAGAAAACAGATCAGCACTGATGACCAGTGCTCAACAGTGCCACCACCAGTGCCACCCATCTGTGCCTAGCAGTGCTACCAAGCAGTGCTACCCATCAGTGCCACCAGTCAGTGCCTAGCAATGCCTCCAGTCAGTGCCGTCAGTCAGCGCCACCCATCAGCGTTGCCTATCAGTGCCTCTTTCAGTGCCCATCATTGCTGCATATCCGTGCAGCAGCATCAGTGCCAGCTCATCAGTGTCGCCCATCAGTGCTGCATATCCGTGCCACCTCATCAGTGCTGCCTATCAGTGCCTCCTATTAGTGCCCATCAGTGCTGCCTATCAGTGCAGCCTCATCATTTCACATCAGTGAAGGAGAAAAATTACCTGTTTGCAAAAATTTATATTAGAACTAACGAAAAACCGAGTACGCATGCGCGGCCGGCGGGACGGACATGTCCCGATGAGGCTCCGTTCCCCCGTCGGGTGACAGCACCTCAAAGAAGCGGGTCCCAGCCTGCAATACACTCAGGGGGGATCCGATCCCCATGGCAACCATCCCGAGGTCTGATCCGCCCTGGTCTACGGTGGATCCCCCGCAACAGGTCGGAGAAATCCGACAGGGGACTTGGTTACCAATGTGAGCTGTCCACAGGCCCGCCCACCGCTGCACACAGCATACCGCGGCTGAGGAGAGAGAGAGCAGGGGGGGCTGAGATCAGTATAACAGCCCCCCCCCGACAAACAGCAAAATGGTCAAAGGGGCACCCCGGCATCAGGTCCCCCATTGACCAAAAGTATTAAAGAGGCCCTGGCAAAGGCCTCCACAAAGATGGCCACCGCCCCAACATGTGGAAGCAAGCAAGCAGCAGGGGCATATGCAGCCCTGCAGGATCCGCAGCCCAGCCATTCCTGCACGTCTGAGGGTGAGTCTGACACTGAAACCGATGTCCCTGCACAAGCCCTGAAGCCTGACCTTACACCCCCTGACCTATTATCACGCTTTGAAAAAATGCTACACAAAGCTTTGAAGCAAACCTCGGACCGCATCACCGCCACGCTATCTAGGGAAATCTGTGAGCTAGGACAACGCACTGCGGACCTAGAACAGAGGGTAGATGGTCTTGATGCCTCGCTTCAGACGTATACGGATGACCTTGATCTCCTGCGTGGCGAAAACGCAACATTATTAACACGACTGGAGGACGTTGAAAACCGAGCACGGCGCTCAAACCTACGTATCCGTAGCCTTCCAGAAACGATCGTTGATGTCCAATCAACGGTAACAGCTCTGTTCCAAGAGCTTGCCCCAGCTATCCCAATCGACAGATTAGAATTGGATAGAGTTCACAGGGCGTTAGCACCACGACGTGCAAATGGTCCGCCACGCGATATTATAGCCAAGCTCCACTTTTTCCGTACCAAGGAGCAACTCCTACAAGCTGCCCGTAACGCAGAATCTCTACAGTTCCAGGGTCATACCTACCAATTATTCCAAGATCTATGCCCCACAACTATCTCCAAGCGCAGGGCTATGAAACCTCACCTACAAGTACTTCAACAACACGCTATACAATATAGGTGGAGCTTCCCCTTCGCAGTGCGATTCCGATACCAGTCCCGAGATTACACCTGCAAGACTCCAGAGGACCTTTTAGACACCCTACGGATCCTGCAACTACATCCCCCAGCGACGCCTTCAGAAAGCGCCAAGCGGAGGTCCACATACTGCTCGCCGCTGAAGTCCTTCCCCGCATGTGCAACTGAAGATCAACTCAATTTCCACAAGCGGGGGCGTTTTTCGTCTCCGGGCCTATCTTCACAAGATACCATGGACTGAACAGTGTCCCAGGTTTATTCTTCTTTCCTTTTTTTTGCCACACACACCGTACAGATGTACTCGTTTGGTCATCATGGCGGTTAACACCATTGTTATCCGTTCTCCCTCTACCTGTTAAATTTTGGTTGCCCCACTACCTGGGGATTGTTCTACCCCCCCCCCCTCCTGGGCTCCATTGTAGTTTATATTTGGGAGCCTGGGCTTTGGCGGCATGAGATGCCACACCCTTACACCGATGTTGTCTCACTAGCACTACTAGTGCCGTCTGAGTCTAGGATCCCTGATTTTCTCGAATGTTCTTTTTGTGTACCTGTTTTTTTCTACCGGGACCTCGCCACCATTTATTAATCACGCTGTTGTCATCCTCGCGGTTCGCGTACCTGCACACTCCACCCTAGCCCCTGTGTTATTGGTTATTTAATAACACTTGGGCTATTATTGCTCCCTGGCCCACCCTGATTCAGGGTGTCCTTGGGAACCCACCTTTTAGGCCACAAATGGACTTCTACACCCCTTCTCACATGTTACATTTCTCATACTGTACCCCTCCTCCTTCCTTCCACCATGACTCCATGACTTTGCGCAACACACTCCGTAACACTCTCATCCCCTGCAGTAATCGTCAGGCTACATCCCGAGCGGGAGTGCCATGCTATTCAAACCACTATGTACTTTATCCATGGGCTCGTTAAATATCCTCACCCTGAATGTTCAGTGTCTCAATATTCCACAGAAATGGAATAAGGCTTTTCGAACCTTTGCTACACCTAAAGCTCACGTGGTCTGTCTACAGGAAAACACACTTCACTCCCAACTCCACTCCACTTTTTTGGTCCTCGATATCCTCAGGTCTATACAGCCGCTGCCGCCACCAAACGCAGGGGGGTACTGATTGCCTTCCACCGCACAACGCCTTTCACGCTATGCACCGAAATCAAAGACCCGGAGGGTCGTTATCCCCTGTTAGTAGGGCAACTTCTAGATGTAGATGTTACCATTGTTGCATATTATGCCCCAAACCAAGACCCCTTACCATTCCTCTCCCACATACTCTCGGTTATAGACCACCATAAGTGCGGAACTTTGGCTGTTAGCGGAGACTCTAACAGTGTAATATATCCCTTTCTCGACAAATCTCCTCAACCATCCCCCGTCCCTGCCTCTAAACAAACCTTTCAAGCCATACTACAACATTATTCTTTGATAGACACATGGCGGGAACTCAACCCGACTAAAGGACAATACACCTTTTATTCTCATCCCCACCAGTCATTCTCCAGGATAGACCATATTTTCATTACTACCGCCTCTTCCCCTCGGCTTCTGACCTCTGAAATAATTCCAATTCCTTGGTCTGACCATTGCGCCGTATTCACGGCTATGACCTCGTTAGCCCCATCTCCCACTGAATCCTCTTGGATCATTAACGATAACCTGCTTGCAAATCCAGCTCACTGTTTAGAAATCGAAGCAGCCCTAAAAGACTATTTCACTCTTAACCAGTCGCCTGATATATCCCCTCTCCTGTTATGGGAAGCGCATTAAACCGGTATTGAGAGGATTCTGCATTAGCAAAGCATCCTTCTTAAATAAAACCAAAAAGGCAACAACGTCTCTTACTGGAGCAAACCTATGATCGTTCCCATCAAACTTTCCAGGCGGCTCCTACGCCTGCCAATCGTGAAGCCTTGGAGCGATCTAGATTGGCTCTAGATCTCGTTCTCACAGATCAAGCGGAACTCTCACTTCGTAGATATAGACATAAATATTATACTAGGGCGAACAAACCCAATACATTCCTGGCCCTCTCACTTCGCAGGCTCGACCAGCTCACTAAACCTATCCGGATTCGCTCCTCCTCTGGCAACCTCACTAGTAAACCAGAACACATTCTGCAGACTTTCCATACACACTTGTCACAGCTTTACTCTTCTTCCACACCTTTTGACCTCACACAAGCTGATACCCTTCTAACTTCCATTTCCTTCCCGAAACTCTCAGAGTGCCAGTTAGCGGCGCTTGAGCGACCCATCTCCCCTGCCGAAACCTTAGACGCTATTAAAAATCTAAAATTACGGAAACGCCCAGGACCAGATGGCTTCTTAGCCACTTATTATAGGAAATTTGCTCATCTCCTCACTCCCATCCTCACTAATGCTTTTAACACTTTACTATCTGGCCAAACCTTCAACCATGAAACAGTGCAAGCGAACATTTAAATGATCCCAAAGCCGAATTCTAATGACACGCAGTGGTCCAATTATAGGCCAATATCTCTCCTTAACATTGACATCAAACTGTTAGCAAAAATCCTCTCTTCGCGTCTTAACTTGTTTATTGGCTCTCTAATTCATAACGACCAAGTGGGCTTTATCCCAACTAGACAAGCGGGAGATAACATCAGGCGGGCATCTCTTCTAGCAAACTTAGCCAGGTCTCGCAATATTCCTGCCTGTTTCCTCTCCCTAGATATCCGGAAAGCATTCGATACAGTCTCATGGCCATACCTCAACTATATTTTGCATAGTTGGGGTTTTGGCCCACACTTCTTAACCTGGATCTTTTCACTGTATCGAGAACCTTCGGCCAGAATTGGGTATCTGGGGCACAGATCAGCTCAGTTCCCGATTTCCAGAGGCACGAGACAGGGCTGTCCTCTGTCCCCCCTGCTCTTTGCACTGGCTATAGAGCCCCTGGCTCTCTTAATCAGAGCTAACCCGGATATTAGGGGACTCGAAATAGGGGGCACGCATCATAAATTATGTCTCTTTGCGGATGACGTCTTGCTCTTTCTCACATCCCCATTAACTTCCTCTCCTTCTTTACTCCGGCTTCTCGAGACGTTTGGGGCGCTTTCGGGTCTAATAATAAACCCCAATAAATCAACAGCACTCAACATTTCTCTCCCCCCTTTAGAGTTGACGCACTTGCAGCAGATTCTACCATTCCCATGGTCACAGTGTCATATCCCTTTCTTGGGAATCAAACTGACTCCTAGGTTATCAGACCTTTACGCAGCTAATTATCTTCCGATGCTAAACCACCTTTCTGCCCTTCTGACCAAATGGTCTTCCCTTCCCCTCGCATGGCTAGGCAGAATAGCAGTTATTAAGATGTCAATCCTCCCAAAAATTCTATATCTGTTTAGAATTGTCCCTGTCCCAGTACCCCCTCATTACCTCCGCACACTGCAGCGTCGCATCTTTTCCTATGTATGGGGCAATACTCGTCCTCGTATACCTCGCTCCACCCTCTATCGCCCTAAGCTCAGTGGAGGTCTAGGCCTTCCCGATATCAGCAAATATTATCAGGCAGCGCATTTAGCCCAGTTACCTAAATATCATGCAACTTTTGAAATCCCTCAATGGGTTGCGCTTGAATCGATAGAATGTGACCCTTTATCAACAGCTAACTTAATCTGGTTGAGGCCAATAGACCGCCGCTCTATAACCAACCCCATCACTTCTCACTTTCTATCCTTATGGGACAAACTGAAAACCCGTTATCT